TCCTCCCCTGCCTCCACTCCACAAAAATACTGCTTGCTTTTATTTTCCTATGTTATTAGTCTACCACACTCTATTTTCCATCTGGGCACACATCGTAATACAATGTATTTTTAAAAGGGAGAAAGAAAGTGAGCAAGACAGAAAGCAAGAGAGAGAAGCAGAGAATGCATGAGAAAGAGAGAGAGAGAGAATGTGAGCGCAAGACCGTGCACACATGAGATAAAGCATGATGGCAAGCGTGCAACAGCGCATGCGGAAAAGCAAGAGAAGCTAAGCAGGAGCAAGCAATAGATCGAGCACAAGCGCACACAAAAGAGCACGCATGTACACTCATGAGAAAGCACTAGCACTCGAATACCATGAACTTGTCAGATGACAGATTTTTTCCAACCATTTTTCATCACCATAATTTTTTTGTTTTGCACAACTAACCATGGGTTTTATAACATACTAAATAAATTTAAGTTTACTGTTAAGTACTAATTTATTTCTACAGTTTACTAACAGGGATCACTAACCAGAGCGTAGTCTTGAATGTCCGGTCATGTCAGAAAAGGCTGTCAATTCTACCAGAGCACTAAAGCACTCTGATTACTGCCGGTATTGTGTTATCCTGGTAACACTTACCATGTTTTAGCAAAACACCGCAACAGAACAGCAATTCATTTGAAGGTGTTGGTAGTTTTGTAAACTATTGATGGAAATTATGAGAAAGTCAATTAGGCTGCTACCACCTGGTGGTGTGCTGATTATGCTAAGAACCTCTTACATATAACATGGTATACCAGCTAACAAGAGATAAATTAGTATATTGTCTATGTAGCACTATGAACGTAGACTTTTCTTTTTAATAATCCATTAAACTTTCACAACAAAATGGCTGTTACAAATTAGCTATACAACACAATGTTTGAAGCCAACATACTTAATGCATTAACCTGTGCTCCTGTTATCTTGTCATTTTATCTAAGATCCTTTGTATGGATTTAGTCATAAAGTAGTATTACAGACAGCTGCTGCTCAAAATGAGGGACAAAGAAAACCAACGTTCTGTCCAAAGTATTGGCAAAATGCATTTTATTGAAAATAGTTTTTATAAGTATAATTCATTAATAAAAATTATTACACATTTATTATCACCAGATTTAACCTGTAGAAATAAATTTAAATACTGAATTTCCACGACAATAAAGTTAAAAAAATAATTTTATGCAGCTCATTTCATAATAAAGCACAGAATTGTTTTCATTACAAAAATGTTTGCATTTAAAATCTGAACTACTACAAACAGCTTAACACCTGATCAAAATGTTAAAACACTTCCAAACATAGTAAGTAACAAAATAAAAGTCTAGCAGAGACTATACTTTTGTGGGGTTGGGGTGTTTTGGATTGGGTTTTTTTTCCCCATTTGTTGGTTTTTATTCAATTGAGTTTAAAACAGAAAAAGCTGACCTTTTCAGTTAAACACATCAAGCTTGCCATCAGTACATAAATTCAGTTTTTGTATCCACTCAAGGAAGAACAGAAACTGGTTCACAGAATTCTAAAAGGTCTAGAAGAAAGCCATTTACTATGGGGCTTGCATAGCCTGTTCTCTCAACCAAACAAACATCTAAAATTCTTTCTAACAGCTATCCTTACAAGCAGATTTATTAATGATAACAGGCTTAATAGTAGAATATGATAGAAGAGACAGAGAAGTTTAGGGATATACATGGAGCTTGGCATTTTTAAACCATTCATCAGAAACACAAAAGTACTTGAGTACATTACTTAAATACACTGTACATGCTTAATGCTCACCAATATTTGGGAAACTTGATCAGCTTGCCATAAACAGCAGTACTGAATGATGGGATAACTGGAACAGGGAAGCAGTACAATCCTTTACTGTCCAAAGAAGTCAGTCCTGCTTGAAAACCAAATATCTGAAACAAATTAAGCTGGTCAATGTGTATACTATCACATGATTCGATCACTTTGAAGTTACTTTTAAGTCACAATACATACATTTTTAAAATAAACTCAATAAATATGAAATTAGTTATGTATCACTTTCAGATAATTCCTTTTTCTCCAAACACAAAAATAATGATAAAAATCTAACTAAAATAAAGTCCCAATAGGAATACATATAAAAATATTTTCTTCACTCAAAAAAATCTAACTACAGTCTGCTGAAATTTAAAAAAATGTTGAATTTATCGACTAAGATACATTATTCTATATCCTTGAAATCTGCAGATTGTTAATTGCCTTTCATATAAAATAAATAAAATCATTTTTTACACTTATAGCAATATTGGCCTAAAAAAACGCTGGGTTTTAAGGAAATGAGAAGTTTCCTTTCAAAGCTTTTTTTCTTAGTAAGAGCATCTAAAGAAAAGTTCATCACAATTATTCTTTATGATTTTTCCCTGTTCAATATGTAAAACAAATGGTTGTAGAATTTACTTTTTAACGTGCTGTGCCACCATTCACATAAGAACAGAACACTTTGGGAGATATATTAAAGCTAGCAAATAAACCCTATAAAAATCAAAATTGAAGTCCACATTTTGCAAACACTGATCAAACAGCTGCTAAAAAGTATTTCAATAGAAAAAAATCCCCTCAAACTGAGAAACTCAGATGACTTCCAATACTGCCATCCCAACCATTTTAAATGTGACAGAAGGTAAACATATCACCCAGAAAACTGAAAGCTCGCCATGCAATTCTGGGAGAGTTTATTTTATGCAGATAGTAAGAATTTCACTTTCTAAATATGTATTGAGATATCAGCACGGAATTGAATACATAACTGAAAAATTTAGCAAAATTAACAGTACTAGGAGTAAATATTTACATTTTAGTAGCACCCAAGAGGTTTCAAACTGCCTGAGCACGTCCTAAAAGGCTGAAAGGCCCGTTTTAAACTCCGCTTGGGATTTCAGATTTTTATTCTACTAAAATCTCAACAGATGGCAACTGAATAATCTCAAAGCACTTTTTCAGTACTTTCTTAAACTTCTCGCAGTCTCTCAATAAGAACTCCTCTCACACAATGGGTCTTTCACTGAGAACATTCAGAGGATTTTCCTCTTCAAATGAAAAAAAATGGTTTGACAACTTTTTCACTCATCTCCACTATCATCGTTTTGCTCTATCAATACTACTAGAAATTATGTTTTTAGCTCATAACCAAGTTTCTAAGTGCAACTCACTGCGATCTACATATTCTATGAACATTATCCCAGAAGTGCAGAAGGATTTCTTTCCAAATTATTTTAACTCAATCTTGTCACAAAGACCTTGGGCCTTCAGTCTGTGTAATTTCCTCGTGTGAAGTTCTCTGTTCATGTTACAAAACATTTGGCTCAGGTCAGAAGCAGCGATCCCAAACAACGACATTCTGTGAAATGCCTTTATGTCCTTTTAGATAAGCTGAAAACTTTCACCCAAGAAACCTGCTAACACTTTGGATTATGTAATACTTCTATTCACTTTTTATGAGCACACTGTAACAAGACAGAGATCTCTAGCCTTCTCTTACCTTCAGATAGCAGTGTGAGTAACAGTAATGGAGCAGGTTGTCAGATGGCTGGCCGAGGCTGCTGACCGTGTGCACCAGTTGCTCGGCATACATTGGCACTGAGTGCTCCAGGTTAATCTTATCCACCAGAATTCGGACGGAAGGCAAGGGCCGCAGGGGCTGGAAGGCTGCAGCATTTAACAGTCCGCTTAAGTTCTAGGGGAGGGGGGGGGAAAAACCCCAAGCAATTATTACACTACAGATGTATTATGCACCGTATCAACATATTCACCTCCACACACACAAGGAAATCTACATGGTCATTATAATATAAATCCTCACATGTTTTCAAAATAATTTCTTTGAAGTTTAACATTTATGTTTAAACTTTTTACCTATAACTGCCTTAGGTGCATGTGCCCAGGTGCTGGCAGTGGGGGGGCTGCAGAAGCGGCCTCTGTGAGGGTGGACCAGGGGTGGCCCAGTGCCCAACACAGCCAGTTCCTGCCAGCGCTGCAGCAGCCCCACCGCAGGGCACAGCCGAGCCCGTGGGCCAAGCTGGCGGCACCGCTCTGGGAACACACCTAAGAAAGGGCAAAACCGCCACAAAGGTTGAGAGGACCGAGAGACAAAAAGTGAGAAACAGCAACACGAATGGCAAGGTCAGAACAGGAGAGGGAGGAGGCAGTGCTCCTGGCACAGGAGCAGATACACGGACTGCAGCCCACGGAGGAGACCGCGGCGGAGCAGGTGTTCCCCTGCAGCCCGTGAAGAGACCACACCAGAGCAGATATCTGCACTGCAGCCCACGGAGGACCCCCACACTGGAGCAGGTGGATGTGCCCTGCAGGACACTGTAGCCTGGTGGAGATCCCACACTGGAGCAGGTTTTTTATCAAGGACTGTGGGAAGGACTTACACTGGAGTGGGGGAAAAGTGCGAGGGAGGAGTGGCAGCGATGAACCTTTACAGACTGACCACAACCCCCCATCATCCCCCATCCCCCTGTGTTGTGGGGTGGAAGGTAGAAAAGTCAGGGAATGAAGGAGTGAAGCTAAGCCTGGGAAAAAGGGGAGATCGGGGGAAAGGTGTTATTTTGATTCTTGTCTTTGTTTCTTGCTATCCAAATACATTTTAATTGGCAATAAATTAAATCAATTTTCCACAAGCTGAGTGTGTTCTGCTCATAATGGTAACTGGTAAGTGATCTTCCCCTCTTTATCTTGACCCATCCTATTCTCTCCCCCTTGTCCTGCCGAGGAGGGGAAGGAGAGAGCGGCTGTGTGAGCACCTGGCAGCTGGCCAAGGTCAACCCACTACAAGAATATGCAAAGTCAAAATATTTTGTTCTATAAAATATTTGCTTACATTTTTATCACTCCAAAGCACTATCACCATACTAGACTCATGCTGATCTAACCTTTAGGCTGTCTTATGTGTTCACAGTCAGGCCAGGCATCTCAGCAAAAAAAAGATGCCATTACAAAAAAATATCTATCACAATTTTACATGTCCAACTACATTTTGCATAGTATCCATTAGACTAAGTACTGTATGCAGTACAAGACAGACACGGACATACCAGGGTAAGTTTGTTGGAAGGCTACCAAAGTGGTTAGGGGATTGGAGCACATGAGCTCTCCCTCGGGAGAGACTGAGACAACCCGAGGCAGTCAGCCTGGAGAAGGGCAAGGGGAGATCCTGGTGCTGTCTACAGCTTCCTACTGGGAGGGTACAAAGAAGACAGAGCCAGACTCTTGTCAACGCTGTACCATGAGGGGATGAGTGGCAACAGACAAAAGCTGAAGCAGGCAATTTCAAGCAGGTCTGTTGGAAAGCTTTTTATGGAATCTCTATCCTTGGAGCTAACTCAGCACTTGATTGGACAATCCCCGAGCAACCTGCTCTGCATGGACTTGCTTTGAGCAGGATGTTGGACCCATGGGAATCATCTCCAGAGATCTTTTCTAATCAAAATTATCTTATGAATCTAAAAATTTTATTAAATTTGTATCAAAATAGGACAATAAGCTGATGTATGTATGACTTTCAATCTAAAATTCAAAATTATTATTATAACAGGCTGGGCTTCACTCAGGAAACATAAATTGAAACTCCAAGTCAAAAAAAAAAAAAAAACACCCTACAAAAAAAATCAAAACCAAAAAGTTCACTTGAATTCAGCTTGTATGCCTCAAACCTACAATAAAACTGGGGCTGTTCTTCCATTATAAAATACCATCTGCCCATGCCCATAAGGTGAAAAGCACAATGATTCGTTAGGCTATTCCAGACTGAAAGGAAATAATGCTTCCCATTAGGCATCTGGTCAGGTCCAGTTTTCTAATATTAGAAGCTTCTGAATGTATCCTAATACATCAACAGATAACAGATTTTTCACCAGTTCTCTCACTCCACCCACCTTAACTGAAAAGATAAGCAGTCTAATTTTAAGAAAGAGATACACACTCCTTAAGCACACTCACCAAGTAAACAGCACATGCCTGAAATTTTACATATGTTGCAGCCTAAAGACTAGTGATCCGAGTTACTAATCTGTACGTTACTGTATTTCACTTCAACAATGAAAATGGTTATACAAGCCCACTACAAGAAACTCTACAAATCAAGACTTTCCATACTCTGTCCTCTTGTGCATACACATACAACCTTAAATCACATAAACATTCTGTAAACAAGCAAATTCTATGAGAAAATACAGCACAAGTTAGGGAGTGTTCCACTAGTCAGCAGGTATCTATTACATTATCAAGATAATTTAATGTCCTTGTACCTTCCATCATGTAATACTACTCAAATCCATCTCTGGGGAAAAAAAAAAAAAAGGAATAATAAACTTTTCCAAATGGCTTTTGGCTTTCTTACATATAAATGCTTCACAAATACTAATAAGGTTATTTTCATAACACCTTCAGAATGTACAACTTCATCTCCATTTTAGACAAGAAATTATCATTGAAAAGAAAGGCTGATACAAAAATAATTCACCAATTCTGGAAGTCAGTTTGAATGCCAATTTTTCAATGTTTAGCATTGTAAATTACTTACAAATAAAAGCCTAACTCCCATTGCTTTAATTAGAACTGCAGATACTGAGAACTTTTGAAAAACACATCCCACTAAAAAAGCTTGTCCTCAAGTACAAGGACTACATACTTAGTGTCCACTTGTGAAACACATTGGAAGTGTTTAAAAAGTCCTATAAATTGAACTTAATCAAGAACTGATTTTTTTTTTCCTTCTTGCCATCTCTTCCCTTATGCATAAAATACATTCCAGCCTCTGCCACATGAGGTAAACCTACTGCAAGTCTTCACTACAAAATACCGATTCATCCCTGCAGTACCTCAAGCTTCGTGCACTGAGGAAGGAGTCCCATAGGAATAAAACCAGTACAGGTTTCTTTAGATGGAGTAATACTACATATTTCCAGAACATAAAACAAATTAAGGCTCTCTGAGCTAGTCACTCAGCAGTTAAATGCTCACTGACAGCCAGTCCTGCTGGCATCCTCACTGGAACTAGTATACACAGAGCTGGCTGTTCACATCTATGAAGTCTCTACTGAGCCTATATATTCAAAGATTTCAGACCTGACCAAGTTTAGGAAGACCTGCATAGAAAAATCGTAACAGAAACTCTTCTGATAAAAAGGTTTCCGTAAAAAACTTCAAGTTGGAGCTACATCTTTTCAATCTGCATGATGACTTAAAATCTTTTTTCTTCCAAATTCTTTTTTCCTACCAGTACATAACACCCTCATTTTACAAGTCTAGCTAGTCACTGCACGCATCACTTGTCTTATCCAAAAGGAAGGCTCATGGGCACCACACTCCTTTGGAACTAATACATCCGGCACATGGAATAACAGCCCAGTGAGAAAATTTATATGAAACAGCACATGCTGATATAAAGAACTGAATAAGTATCTGTGCACACATACCTTCTCACCCATGATTATGGGCATCAGGTGGTCTAGTAAATTGAATTCTGCTACAGGGATTACAATTGTACACTTAAGAACAGTGAATGTTGTAAGTCGAGTGGGAATGTATTCCTCCAACGATGCTACTTCTTCTGAGCTTGGCATAGTTCTATTTCCATCCATAATATCTACAATAAATCAAGATTATGTGTTTGACTAAAATATATAAAAATCTCTCCACAGTTGCTGTTTCAGAAATGGTTAGAGACTAGCAAAAAATGGAAAGCTTTCCCCACCCTTTCATAGTTAATTTATTCCACACTGGTTCTACCCAAGGCTAAATGCAATTGTAACTGAATTTTCCTTACTTTGAAATCTGTATAGCTCTTTCTCAGAAATTCATCTTAACAGTTTACCACAGATTGTTTCCATGCATTTTTATGCTGTATAACTATTATTGTAAACTAATAAATACAAAACAACAGCGACACATTCTTCACTAAGACTTCAAAATTAAGCTAGAGTTGTCAATGAAAAAACCCCTCTTTACTCAGCAAGAGGCTTGTGATTGAAACAAATGGCCTCCAAAGTGTCTGAAATGACCTCAGAGGTATACCCAACACTGATGGGAATACTGAAATTAATTTTATCTTTATTTTCAATTTTGCTTTTTGGCCTCATAAAATCCTCTGACAGATTTGGAGTTTAAGTACTTGGAAGCTGCACCTTCAAGAGCACTGAATTTGGGCAGGTTCAATTCTGTGTATTTGTGTATATGCAATAGGAGCAAACCTGGCTTAGTTCTGCCGTATGGCTCATACTCATGTTCCAGAGCACAAACTATCATTTTCATTATCCGGTGTACTGCACTGCTATCCAACCGAAGATTGAGTGGGCCCACAATGAGGCTTTTTGTAGACATCTCCTGAACATTTCCAATATCTTCACTCTTTACGGAAGAAAAGTCTTGCTGGTTCCCAGAAACTACAAGAAGTTTCACAAATAACAACAAATTAAACCAAACAATTGTACATCATAAAATTTTTTATCAGCTACTTCTGTTTCACATCCTGTGATCACAGACTTATAAACATACAGAAAATATAACAATGCAAATTAAACACATAAATATACCATTGACTAGTTTAACATATTTAAACAAACATTATTCCTGTTTAATGCAGAGCAAACAGGGCAAGATTCTGCCTTGCCTCCAAGCACAGCACAACTTAGGAACCCCTCCATTAATTTTGCATCTCTCAAGTGTGAGACTCTTTGCAGGTGTCCAAACTACCTCCAAACTTCTGTGGCAACTGAATCCCAGGTGCCAATAACAGACATGCTGTTCAAAACTTTCTACAGTTTATCACAAAGATATCCATCCCAAACAATCAAGGAAATGGTGTTCTGCAAAGAAACTACAGACATGGGTCCTTGAAATGCCAGCTAATGGTACACGGGCTAGAACAGCAATGAGAATCACACTCACTTGTATTGTCACAAACCAGTCTGACAACTGAAGATAAACCCTTCCTTCCATTCCCTGATGAGGTAAAGCACGGGTAGCAAGAATGAAAACTTCTTTAACAATTAGTCTCAGACCATTTATAGAAGGACCTCCACAGAGATGAAAGGAAGTTTTGACACAAGCACTAAACATTAAACGTCTTGCTAACCATTACACAAACGAACAGACTTCATAAAATAAGCATCCAAATTAAATGGATTCTGAGACCACAACCAATAAAAATGAAAAACTTCTTGAGCGAAAACTGTGGGATGACAGTTTAAGCCATTCAGTGAATCTGGATAGCACATACTCCTTAGAGAGTACAGTAATCCATAATGCACCTGGTCAAAGCTGTGACAAATAGGAAAGCCGGGAAATGCACAGCCATTGCCATCAGTTTCACCTTGGTTTCCACAACTTCACACACATGCAATGGCAGAGCTATCCATTCGATACATTCTCCTTGTACTAATGATCAAGTCATGCTGCAGAAGCCGAAGTCTGTGTAAGCGGCGGACTGAGTTCTTCCATGATGATCCTTCTCAACAGCAATGTTTTTCAAGTGATTTCCAAGCTCTTACCCAGTGCAGATCTTGTACACATACTCAATGCAAGATAGATCCCATCCCTCTCTCTTTTCACCCGTCTGTCCAGATGCGAATCAACCTATTTCCTTGCATAAATCTAATAACCTCCTGCCTTTCTGTTACAGTAACAAGCTAAACACACCTGTAGAGAGCTATGACGCAAAACCATAGGAAAATCTGACAATTCCGAACTTATGTTATACCATCTTCCTCACTGACTACCCCTGTCCACACTAACATGGATGGCAAGACAAGCTCAGCTCGCCAGGCTGGACAGCTGCTGCAGACAGCTGACCAACCCGCTGTGCCACCAAGACACAGGATCTGCCAGCTTCCCAGTAGCTGAGGCGTTGCAGTTAAGCAGCCTGGCATGGTGTGCTTCACAGTTCAAGGCAAATCTTGCTCTCAAGCCAGCTGGAAGAAAGCATGGTTTACTTCTGGTTGCCTAAGAGGAACCTAGTCATCTTTCACCTCCCAGGGGAACACCCCCTTTTCCCTCCCTCCTTTACTCATTCAAAACAGTCTTTTCAATAGGGAAAGTGAGCTTCAGGGAAAAGGAAGGAAGGACAGGGTTTTTTCCCATTCTGTTTAAATCGTAATCTGTAAAATGTTCTTGCTTCTAAGCACTGGTGAGGAAAAAAGACTCCAAATAAACCAAGACTATACCGAAATTGACACAGAGCCGGCCTAATGCTCCACAGGCATTTACAGGCCTAAATACTCAGCAGAAGAATTAACTTTGTCCCCACAAGCCCAACAGAACTTGATGGTGAAAGCATTTATAGCCTCTGCTTCACTTGGTGTTTTGTTTACCACTTCTAAGAAGAAAAACGAAAAAAAAAAAAAAAAGAACAAAAAGGAAAAAAAAAGGACAGAAGGATACTACCTTACACAAACCTGTTCAAATCTTCAGATGGAACTGAAGTTACAACCTTTCTAACAAATCCTGAAAAAGACTTTTTTTTAAAAAAAGCCAGTATACAGCCTGCAGTCAGGGTATGCTTTATTTAGTAACACGCATTGTTGTTGTTCCAGTTCGACACAGTACCCAGTTCAGATGAACACTATTAAGAAGTGTAAAAAAACATAACTTCACATGAAAATAAATCAAGGCCAAAAGCCTTCAGAAGCAGTAACAGCCTACTTTTTTGAAAAGAAAGAAAACAAACTGATTTGTACATATTTTATGTATATGAATAATATAGCAAAGTGACAGCATTTATCCAAACCAGTTTCTGGAATAGCTCCATTTAATTCTAACTAAGTGCAAAGAGAATGTGATAGAAAACCCTATTGGTTCTACAGAAGTAGGTGATCACAGAATCACAGAATGGTAGGGGTTGGAAGGGACCTCTGTGGATCATCTAGTCCAACCCCCCTGC